ACGACGGCGACGGCCACGGAGACGGCGACGGTGACGACGATGGCCACGACGGCGACGCCGGCGACGACGGCAACGCCGGCGGCGCCGACCGTCGGCTGCGGCGGTCGGCGCCGGGGGGGCATTGGCAGGCCACGGGGCGCCTCGGGGGGTCGTCAAGGGTCCCAGCTTCGGGGTCTGCGGGGGGAACCTCCAGTTGGGCAGGGCTCCTGCAGCCACGCGCGGAGGGGGGCTCCTCGTCGTCGTCGTCGTCGTCGTCCTCCTCCTCCTCCTCCTCCTCCTCCTCCTCCTCCTGTTCGTCCTGCGTAAACATTTTGGCTCAATATGCAAGTTCCCTTGAGAAACCAAACGGATCCGCGGCCAGTCGCTGTCTCTCCGCCTTGTCCGCCCAGGGTGAGGAGCGCTGCACCAGCATGCAGCGCCAGCACCGCTCTCGTTCAGATTCCACTCGATGGGGAGCAACGGCCAGAAGTCTGGGCAGTACGTGGTTTGCAGCGGCTGCAAGGGCTGGATGCACACGGACAAGCTCAAGAGAGCGCAAAGGTGGTGCCGCTGCGGTGAGTGCCTGGGCACTGCGCACGGGAGACGCCAGGGCGAAAAGCAGGTGGCAATCGAGGGAACGTCGCGGCCGCCGTGGTGGGGGCCGACACCAGGGGAGGCGCGGCGCGGCCTGTGCAGTGAGGAGGCAGCCCTCGAGTTCCTGGCCAAGAACACCAGCTACGTCACCAAGCTCGCGCAGCTGGCCAAGCAAGAAAAGGAGGCAGCGGCGGAGACGATGGCCCCCGCCCCGCCCAAGTCCGCGTGGCAGCAAGTGCAGTCGGCGCAGGGTCAGCATGCGCACAAGCGCGACGTCCCCTACAAGGCCCAGTGGGAGTCGGACCAAGCGGAGGGGGTTTGCGCGGAAACGGAGTCGAAACGGGCGAAGGCCTTGGAGGCGCTGCTGGAGGCGGAGGAGGCGCTCGAGCTGGCCAAGCACCGCTACTACTCCGACCAGACGGCGGCACAGGCCCCTCCATGGAGAGGAGAGGAGGCGGGGCAGTATGTGCTCACCTTTGGTCGGTCCAAAGTGGCAGCGCAGTGCGTGCCTCCATCTCGCCCACTCCTCCTCCCTCCTCGAGTTCTGCGCCCCCCAACGCGCGCCCCCCCCCTGCGCCGGCGGTGGTGGGGGCGAGGGCCCCGAGAGCGAGTGCGCAGGAGGAGTTGCGACCTGGCGTGACTGAAGATGCGCTTGAGTCCGATCGGATGGGTTAGTGGGGCCTCTTTACACTGCGTGTCTGTCATGACCGATTCGCTACGGCTGACTTCCGACACCTCCGAAGGCCTTGCCCTGAAAGCGCGCTCAAGGGCCGAGAGAACCTGGCCGGGATCGCCAAGGGGCTCTACCCAAGACGGGAGGGGGTCCCGAGAGCGGTCCTCGAGGCGGTGCACCAGGAGGAGCAGGAGATTGTTCAGAATTTGCAAGACATGTTTGTGCTGCGGGGGGGGGAGGGTCCTTTCGCCCACGGTCCTGGGGAGGGGTCGGGCTCTGGGGAGCCTGCTTGCGCGGTCCTTCCGTTCCCAGGGAGCCCTGGTCCTGGGGGTGCCCCCAGTAGCAGCGTTTTTGACGGTGGGCCCCGTGCCGCCCTTCAGGATCTTGAGGAGGAGGCGGCCGAGTGGCTCCTCGGAGGATCGCCCCAGTAGTGTCGGAGTTGCCCCACCAGCGTCGGACGTTGGCGTCAACTCTCGCTCGGGGCTTCTCAGGGTGAATTCGCGGTGGATCCGCCCTATCAGAATCCTCTGTAGAATCCTCCTCCTCGCCCTCCTCCTTTTGCTCCTCCGCCCTCTTCTTCCTCTTCCTCCTCCTCCTTCTCCATTCGTTTTCCTTATAAGTAATTTCTCCCTGTCGCACCCCGAGGCCAGTTTTTGGGGCGGGCCGGGCGTTTCGCCTGAGACTTCCTCACCTCTTATGATTCTGAAACATGAGAATTGGCAAAAGTTTCACATGTGATGTGGCTCTCGCCTCAGCGCGGCGCACATTCGTGTTGAGCATTTGCAAGAACTTCACGGATTGAGGGCGGGTCGTTTTCAAAAGGTGACTCCTGGCTGTAGCGCTGTAAAAACTTGCAAGGGTTTCACGGATTGAGGGCGGGTCGTTTTCAAAATGTGGTTCGGCACACATTCGTGTTAAATAATTGCAAGCGTTTCACGGAGTGAGGGCGGCCTTTTTTCAAAATGTGGCTGTCGCTTTAGCGTGGCACACATTCGTTTTAAACATTGTTGCAAGAGTTTCACGGATTCCCATCATCAGCGTACCAGAAATGGTGTTGTGCGAGGATGCAGCAATTATGTTGATTCGCTGTGTTGAAGTCCCAGGAACGGAGTTCTGGCACGATTCAGGCTTGTCCAGACACGACAGTCAGGTTAATCCTTGGCGTTGAAGTCCCGAGGACAATGTCTTGACATGCGTCAGGGTCTTCACACGGTTGTCTTCCAAAGAGACCGTTCCGTCAATGGAAATGAACCGTTGTAGGGGCCTTTGAAGAGGGAGTTCGGAGGGAGGGTTTATTCCAACATCGTTGATGACGCTTGGGTTTGCACTGGTCCTCCTCCTCCTCCTCCTCCTCCTCCTCCTCCTCCTCCTCCTCCTCCAGAGGAAGGGGGAGAGTTGAGGGCAGGAGGGTGGGTGGAGAGGTGGGGGGTCAGAAGCACCGCTGCGCCTTATCTATAGCTGTAAGGCCGGCGCCTTTTGAGCAGCAGGCTCCTTCCAAAAAGCCCCCCCCCTTCCCTCCACCCGTGTGTGCGCGCCGCTAGCTCCTCGCCATGAAGCAAGCGGGTCCTGAGGGAAACGGTTTCCGAGGGAAGGGGCGGAAGCTGGTCGTGAGGGAAGCGGGTCCCGAAGGGAACGGGTCCTGTGGGGAGCGGGTCTCCCGAGCTTCGGGGGGAGTCTTGAGCTTCTTCGGGCAGGGCTGACAGGGCCCAATCCGATTCTATGTATCACTTTTGGCCAGTTCGGTGAAATTCGATGCCGATTTCTTGGTCCAATGCGGCCCGATGTTCGCATAGCGTTGTTGTGCATCCTGGTGCAGCCAATCCGACTCGGTTTCGACTCCGTGCCGACGCAACCCGATCCGATTCATATTCCGCTTCGATCGTTCCCGACTCGATGCTTCCCGAATCCGATTTCTGGCCATGAAGCGAACGGGTCCTAAGGTTTTCTCCCGTTTTCGGGCTCTCGTGGCCCTCCCTGGGCTCCGAGACTGTCAAGGAACGTGTCAGGATGAAGAGTTGGTCCCGGGGGAAGGTCTCGGGGTCCAGCAACCGTTTCCCTCGACACCCGCTTTCTTCGTGCCAAGGCCTCGGACTTGGGGGTCGAGGCTCTTTGGGCCTCAGACGGGGAAGAGACCGACACCGCTGCGCTTCCCTCGCCGCCATGACCGGGTTCGCTCGACCTTCTGGTGAGAACGCGCCCCAGGAAAGGTTCGGGGAGTCGCCGTGTCGGTATTGTTTGCCCCCCTCCCCCCCAGCCCGGGGGACGTCTCCCCCAGGAGAGGCCCGGGCGCTTGCGGACACGTGCCGGCCAGGGATATGGATCGACGACGCGCAAGAGTGACCCTTCGCCGGAGTGACTTTTGGCGCGGGCCCGCTGGGGTCCTCGGATCGACCAGCGCGATGCGGTGGCAGCGTCTTGCAAGCATGGGTTTGGCCCCCCCCCCGGAGCGGCTCCCCGTGGGCCGCGCACCAGAGGTCACTCTTGTCCAGGGTCAGTCTTGCGTGCTCAGTATCGTTTATCCGATCCCCATCCCCATCCCCATCCCTTTCGAGACCCCCACCAAATTGTCCCCCCAGTTGGGGAGGATACACCCCTCGAAACCCGAAGGGAACGACCTATATCCCCATCTAGGGAGGTAAATCGGCCAGTGGGGCCCAGGCCACGCCGCTGGGGATGGGGATCGGATAAACGAGACTCATGCAATTTGCGCGACACGAGGGCGCGAAGAGATTCGCCCTTCGCGCCTCGTGGCCTGCCCCGTTCTCCTCTTCGTTCCCCCCTTTTTTGGAGGCAAGAGGTCGCTCATTCTGGGCAGCCGAACCTTGCCGGTCGTCGAAAATAGCTATTTCTAGCTTCCCGGATCCCAATATATGTTAGGCGCATTCCTATTTCAATAGTGGAGTGTTTTTTTTTGTCCGTCGCCATTTTTTGGCTCAAATAACACATTTCCCGGGGTGGTGTCGGACCAATTCGGAGTTCAGCAGACGCAGCCCGCTTTTAGGCGTCTGCTTGTATCTCCATTCAGTGATCTCCCGTCGGAGCCATATTTCAGCCTCCGATACCAGTTCGGAACGTCTTTTCTTCAGCCACCGCGATGGGGAAATCGCGCCCTGCTGATCGTCAGACGCGCCGATTTGAGCATCGGACTCCTGCTCGCTTGACCTCTCCTTTCTCAGGTTCAGGCACACGTCGTTCTGCCAGCCGCAGCCCTGGCAGGACAGAGTCCCGCGACGACGCGTCGATCTCGCGCCAGCTCGAAAGCATCACGGGGTAGCTCGCCTCTGTGCACCAGATGATGATGCAGAGCACGAGGCATGCTCGACTTCCGCTCCTCAGTTCAAGGCAACTGAATCAATGCTCTCAAGTTTCTGCTGGTCGGTTTGCATTTGTTGGCCAATATGTTCGGCGCCAACATGATGGATTGCATAATCAGGTTAAGTCCGCCCTCAATTCGCAGGACGATCGGATCGAGCAGATGGGGTCACCGGGGCCAAGTTCTGCGATATCCACTCGCACCCGATGCCCGTTTCCTCGCCGCGCTCACAGCCGGGGCGCGCCGCTGGATATTCCACAGCTGAGAGGCAGCAACATGATGCCTGCAAACTCGTGCTCTTCGTTTTCCTTCGCCCGTTGCCTTTAGCTAATATCAAAACCACTGGTGTGGCATGCGAGTTGACCTTTGCCCCTTTGCAGGCTCAGGCGAGTATCGTTGTGAAGGCATTCGACCTCTCGACGAAAGTAGCGTTGCTGGATCATGAATCGGGAGTTCACCCAGGAGGAGATCACCGTAGCCAGGTTTGTGGAGTTGAGCAGGCTCGACGAGTTCAGGGCGAAGGAGGACATCGACCGGTCAGCAGTGGACGGCCCGTTACTTTCAGTTGTCTGTGTGGGTGAAGCCAGAGCGGAGGGGGCGAAGTCGAGGATTTGCGCGAGGCCTATCAACGTGCCGATGAAACCGAAGGATCTATTTTACACCCGGGCTCCTGGAGCGAAAACTCACGAGTTCTGTTGGCGCTGGCGTCTTTCAATAAGTGAAAGCGGAAGTCTTTTGATATATCCAGGGCTGTTCTACACATTCCAACTCGGGATGTGGTCTTCCTCGAGCCGCCAGCGGAGTACAGATAGTATTGCATCGAGAAATTTGGCGAGGATCCAGGCGATGTGTTTTGGAAATTAAAGTGCCCGATCTACGGGCTCACGAGGCCATGGTGAATTTCGATGCGCGCTACCGCGAGATCACCATCGAGCAGCTCAACACGAGGAGGTTGGTTTCAGAGCCAAGCGCTTGCGTCTGCGAAGATGCGAAGGTAGTTGTGACCAGACACGTAGACGATGGCATGGTCATTGGAGACGGCTCAGGTCCAGACGAGTTCTTAGAGGCGCTGGGCGAGCATTTCTTGCTTAGGATCACTCCAGAGATGACCAGAGGCAGCTCTCAAGTACACTTTGGGCGCATCATCAGGAAGCTCAGTCATGGCATGGGATTTCCTGTTCGGGTGGCGCCCAAAACGACTTACAATTTACTCGAGCACAGGGGAGTTCAGAATGCGAAGGCGGTGGCGACTCCAGGTTTGAAGTCAGCGGCGCAGCAGGACGGCGAGGAGTTGCTTACTGATGGCGAGGCAAGGAAGTTCAGGACAGGCACTGGGGAACTTCTGTTTGTGGCAGCAGAGAGGTGTAACTAGCAGTTTGCGACGAGGGAGACCAGCAGATGCACGAGGTCAACCTGCAGCTGGGGATGTTCGACGTCGTAAGAGGGCTGCTCGCTATCTCGGCGGTGCTGGGGAATTTGCCAATCCCATCGCGCCAGAGGCCGTGGGCAGCATCGCCATCGAGGTGAAGGTGGGTAGCGGCTGGGCAGGCGACGAGCTTGGAAGGGGGAGCACTTCGAGCGGGCGCGTTTATCTCAGCGACATGGCGGCTTCAGCCCACAGCAGAACGCAGGCGGGCCCAGCGACGCCGTCAACGGAGGCGGACGTCTACGCCGCTGGCCCAGGAGCATGCGAAGGCTTATTCGTGACGTCGTCATTGGAGGAGCTCCTTCCAGGCACTCAGGTCAGTCTACAGTTGGGGTCAGACAGTTCGACATCTGTTTCATCTCAGATCAGACTTGGTTCGGGCAAGCTTAAGCGCGTTCACTTGCGCAGCATGTTCGCGCAAGGCTTGCTTCGCGAAGGGCGTATGATGGTTCATAAGATACCGACGCGTCCAACAGCAGCGATTTGGGCACTAAGTATTTGGAGAAGGGGGGAGTTCGAGAAAAACGCCAATGGGCTGTCGGTCTGCGCGATTGCGATGGCGGGGGTGTACTTGAGGTTTCGGATGGGGTCTAGACTGCGAGAGTTGCTTCGTTCAGGGATGAAGGCGAGGTTCGACGGGGCCCTCTATTCTGTTTAGGCGGTTTGCTTTCCATGGTCAAGGGCGCGGATGCGGCTGGCGAGTTTTTCGCGGTTGAGACTGTGGGCGGACCATGGGGCATTTTTGTTTCGACACAGATAATGAGGATGATCACTCCCATGATGGGCGGTCTGTTTTTGTCTACATGGGTATACGCGTCGGGTACCGCATCGGGAAGGTTGGCGCCATCTCGAGTCTGAGGATGGATGATCCTGTTTCTGGAATGACATGCACTGTGGCAGCCCAGACCCCAAGACATGTGTTTCGCCAGGGGGTCACCCTAACTGTGCGAAGATATGCGCCAATCATCTTACGATCAGTAATGTTAGAAAGCGCCTGCGTAGGCTCGGCAGCAATCCGAGCGGACGCAAGGCAGAGTTAGTGGAGTGCTCGATGGCGCTGGAGCCTTGGAGGCGCTAGTGATGATTCCGCGATGCTTCCGAGACTTGATTTGTAGCGCGGTTTGCGCGCTCTTGTTGCAAAACGAACCGCGACGACGGAAATTATATTTGAGCAGAGATGGACGACGGTTCGACGCGTCTCCGAGGGTGTGCGCGTGTATGTGTCCCCTAATGGTCGTGTTCGGTACCGTGCGGGGTCCCGGCGGCGTTGTGCTGTGCCGCGCTAAAGGTGCGGTGTGAATGTCTGCGGAGGTCAAATGTACCTGCACCGCTTAACCCCTAAGACGGGGGTGGAGGATTGCTGCGCGTGCGAGAGTTAAGACCAGAGCTGAGGTGGACCGTAGCCATTTTGGCTCAAGCCCGATCTTGATAGAAAAGGAATGCTCGCCAGGGGCCCGATTCGCCCAGAATGCGTTTTTCCTTTCCCTTCCTCTCGACGGGGCGGGCGGAAACCCAGTCTCCCCAGGGCCCCCCCCCACGCGCGCGCCTTCACGTTTTGACTTGCTTCTTCAGACCGACGGGCAAGGATAGCAATGTCTGTCCCTGACCCCAATGCTCTATTAAATTTTCGTGACCTAGTGCGGGCCCCGATTGTCCTATAACCCTGAACATTATCGGGTGGATTTCTCGTGCATCTGCAGAGATATCTCATGTTCATGATGTCCTTGGCCCTTCTAACTCGGGTGCCTTCCCAAAGTGCTGGGGAAGGGTTATGTTGCTTATCGTCCTGGGGCAAGTCTTGAGCGGTGGAGGAAGATCAGGGGCAGCGTCAATTATGCGTGGATCGGCTCAGGGGGGGTTGCGTCCAGCCCCAAATCGCCATCGCCAACGCGGGCATGATAGCCCACACCTCCCAGGAATCACGCGGTTCCGCCGCCCGAAATCGATCTTGGCCGCCGAGAAATTAGCCAGGATCGGCCCCAGGGGGAAGGGGGGATTGAGACAATTTTGGAGCTTACGCATAGGAGGAGGAGCTAGGAGGAGGAGAAGGAGGAGGAGGAGGAGGAGGAGGAGGAGGAGGAGAAGGAGGAGGAGGAGGGGGAGGAGCAGGAGCAGGAGCAGGAGCAGGAGCAGGAGCAGGAGCAGGAGCAGGAGCAGGAGCAGGAGCAGGAGGAGGGGGGAGGAGGAGAAAGAGGACCAGTGTAAACCCAAGACTCAGCAACGACATACCAAGACAACCAGCCCTCCTTCCAAGTTCCCTCTTCATTGGCTCCTACACGGATTCGTTTTCACTGAGGGAAATGCCCCGTTGGAAGACAACCATGTGAACATCTTGAATAGTCCCAGAATGCCATCCCTGGGATTTCAACGCCGCGAATCCCCGTCAGTGCTGCGTCCTGACGATCCTGATCGTGCCAGAACGCCATTTCAACACAAACGCTGCGCCCTGACATGCCGACATCGTGCCGAAACACCTTTGCTGTCACGCGTACCACGAGGATCTTTGAAATCTTTCTACAAATTCATAAAACGACTGTGCCGGCGCTACGGCGCTACTGCGAGAGCCACATTTTGAACAAAAATGCCCTCCATTTGTCAAGTGATTGCAAACTTTTGTAAAAAAGTGTGCGCGGCGCCAAAGCGAGGGCAATATTTTGAGGGCCGCCCTCTGTCCGTGAAGTCCTGCCAATTCTTTAAGAAATTGTGCGCGGCGCTATGAGGAGAACCACATTTTGAAAGCGGGCCGCCCTCCATCCGTGAAGCTCTTGCAATTATTCCAAATCTCAGGCGAAACGCCTGGTCTGCTTTTTCGACCAGCCAGGTTTTTTTTATAAGGAGGGAGTTACTTATAAGGAAGGAATTATTTCGGGGTGCGACAGAGAGGAGTTACCTTTCAGGAAAAGGAGCGGATCTCAAATGCTTTCAGTCGAACAGTTGTGTGGTCCTTCATGGGAGCCTTTGAGGGCCCCAAATTTCCTTGCGGTTTGGGGGATGTCGTCCAGCTTTCGTCGGATTTGGTCGACATCCCGACGCAATCTTGACGAGATCTGGACGAACGAGTGAAGAGGGGTGGTCGACACTTGGACGAAGTCCGGTCGAGGTCATTTTCATGCTGGGGCCGCGCGGGTCCACGGGCTCCCGTGAAGGCTCACCGAGGGTCAGCCTGCCGGGAGGCGGACGATCGTCGACCACGCGCAGAGGGGGGTAGGGGAAGGGGGGAAGGCTTCTTAGGAGCACCCCCGCTTCTTGGAAGGCGCGAGCCCTGTCAGTGGATGCAAGTCCGGCGCATTCTTAGAAACAGCCTTCTTCTAACAGGCCTCCCCCCCCCCGTACACTGTGTGCGCGCCACCAGTGATGGGCCTGTTTCCCACCACCACCACCACCATATGTTGGAATGGGAGGGGGTCCTCCTCCTCCACCTCCTCCTCCTACTCCTCCTCTTCGTCCTCCTCGTCGTCCTCCTCCCTCCCCCTTCCAATTTATGGTGGTGGTGGTGGAAAAAAAACCCTTAAACAAAACCGAGCGGGCCTGCAGGTGGTGGACCGCCAGGCCCTCGCCGAGGTCGCCGGCCTGCGCAGCTCGGTGCTGCGGCAGCGCGGCACGTGCCCGTCGTGGTCGTGGCAGAGGCCCGGGGAGGAGAGGAAGACAAGGATTATGATGTTCCAACTTACTTTAGCGATGATCACAAGAAAGAATTTCGAGCACGAAAAAAGCACCGAAACTCGAGGGTTCGACACTGTTTCCACACTCTTTCGACACTCTTTCGACACTTCTCCGGGTGCTCGAAATTATTTCTGGGATGTGGCTTTTGAGTGCGATGGGAGCAACATAAGACAAGGACAGACCACAACGTTGTTTATCTTTGTTTGGGCCCTTGTTTTATGTTCGGCCCCTTTTTCGTTTTTGTTTCGTTTCGTTTTTGTTCGTCTTGGTCGGTGCCTGGAGAAAGACTGCGTAGAGCGTCGAACGCTCCTTTGGAACCAGGCTGGCCAGGAGCGGCACAGATCAGGAGTTTTGCCGAGCACGACGGCGATTTCGTGCGCCTTTCGCTCAGGCACCAGAGGTGGTGCTTGAGGTCCAATGCAGTCAGGCGGGTCTCCAGGCCGAGCATTGACTTGATCGAGCTGGCGTGAACAGAGGCTATTGGAAGTCCGCGCTGATTCCTTGGATCGGCGCTGGGCCCCCCTTCCTGGAGCGCGGAGCGCACCAGGGGCCGCGCCAGAGGCGCCGCCAGGGGGGCCCACCGCAGATCCAAGAAGCAACCCGCTCGGACCTCCAAAAGTTTATGGTTATGTATGCTGTCTTCCACTCGAGAGAAAGACTCGAGGCCTCCCAGATGCGGTCAGAGTAGACAGGCATGCTCGCGTCGTGGACAAAATCACGAGGGAGGGTCTCCATTGCCGTTTGCGGCCCCTGGGGGCCTCCCCCAGGCTCCGGGGCCGCCGAAAATCGAATCGGGATGAAAATTTGGCCCATGGGGAAGGGGCGTGACTTCTGGGCACCAAGTATTGGAAAATCAGGACGATGCCTTTCTGGATATGGGGTTGGAGGATCGCGCCGCATCGGCAATGCGTCTGGATGTGGAGCCCGATTTCTCCACGCAGACGGCGCCGATGCATCGGTGATGCATCGGCGATGCGGCGCAATCCTCCGACCCCATCTGCTCGGACTCCTCCTGGGAGGCCTGTACGTACAGACACAAGCGTAGGTTTGTCGAGAGTGCGCGTGGACTTCTTGCCTGGATCTGTGCCGGCCCCCCCTGCCCTGGCGCGCGGAGCGTAGCAGGGGCGGCGCTGCCGGCGGCCGCCAAGAATACTGGAATCGACTACACGTAAGAGTGACCCTTCGCCCGAGTGACTTTTGATGCGGGCCCGCTGTCCCCCGATCGACGAACGCGATGCGATAGCGGCGTCTTGCAAGCATGGGTTTGCCCCCCCCCCCCCCCTTGTGCGGCTTTCAGTGAGCCGCGTTCCAGAGGTCACTCTTGCCCAGGGTCAGTCTTGCGTGCAGCCGAAGGAGGTCCGCGCGGACCCCCGAGGGTTCATGCATGCTGCATGCAAGGGGCACGACACGTGGGCGCGAAGACATGCGCTCGTGGCCTGCCCCGTTCTCCTCTTCGTTCCCCCTCCTCTGGAGGGCCCAGTCGACCTGCTTCTAGAACACCAGTATCTCGGGCCTGGGCCAAAGACAGTTTGCACGTTCTAGCCACAAGCGTCGACGGACACTGGGTGTCGTTACTGTTGGACGTATTCGGGGTGGGTGCGCCTTCAGACAACGCGGCCTCTGCGCTCGTCGCAGTGCAAGGGTCGGAGAGAGGGCAGATCCGTCTACCCCTCCAGGGATGGCGCGAAAGCGCGAAGTTCGTCGCGCTTCGCGCAGCGCGAGCTTGGCTGCCCGAGTCCGTGCCCGCAGGCCTAGAGGTTGACACCAACACCCCCAGATCGGCGGTGTGCCTCCACCGAGGGAAGACGATCCCGATCTCGGTGATGGTGGCAATATTCTGGCTTCCAAGGTGGCCGAAATATGACCACCGACACCGAAATCTACGACCATCTTCCACATGTGGAGGCACTCCCCTGTGCTGGTGTTGGTGCCCGAGTCCGTGCCCCCGTGCTCGTTCCTCCCGCTCCCGCGAGGGCCAGCGCCTGCGAGGCGGCGCTCTTCTACGACCCGCTTGGCGACCCAGAGGGGTGGCTGGGGACGATGCGAGGGGGGGGGGGGGCCAGGCCGAGGGCAGCTCCTCCTCCTCCTCCTCCTCCTCCTCCTCCTCCTCCTCCTCCTCCTCCTCCTCTTCGTCCTCCTTCTCCTCCGTGAAGCAAGGGCGCGTGGCGCTGTTGGTCCGAGCATCAGGGGCGGCCTGAACGACCCTCAGGGGAGGAAATGGGTACCGATATCGCTACGGTGCCCATGCCGCTATTCTTCCTCCGTTTTCGCCTGTGGGGCCTCGTGGGAGGCCCTCGTCGCCACGGCTGGATTCGCCTCGAAGTCCTGGTCGGAACGCACCCCAGGTTGGGGGAGGAGTCCGGGGACTTACCTTTTGGTTCCCCATAAGCTGCGATTTCCGATGAGGGTCCATTTCGATCCGATCCGATCCGATCCATTTCGATTCCGATATTCGGACGATCCGATGCGGCCCGATACCTTCATGGCGCTGTTGTGCATCATGGCGCAGCCGATCCGATCAGATTTTACCTAACAGCGAAGACTGATAGGTTTCTAGTAGTGTCAAAAGAGAGCATCTTGACTTCCCAGGGGGGTCTGGGCGGGTGCCGGGGAGAACCCGCGGAAGTCGTTTCAAGAAAACAGTTACACACTTCGTGGTCTTCGAGGTCCCAGAACTCCATTCCTGGGCATGATTTTGACTGCCCGGAGACAACTGTAGGCCACTTCGTGGTCTTCGAATTCCCAGAACTCCATTCTTGGGCATGTTTTTGAATGCCTGGAGCCAACTGTAGGCCACTTCGTGGTCTTCGAGTTCTCAGAATTCCATTCCTGGGCATGATTTTGAATGCCCGGAGCCAACTGTAGGCCACTTCGTGCTCTTCGAATTCCCAGAACTCGGTTCCTGGGCATGATTTTGAATGCCCGGAGCCAACTGTAGGCCACTTCGTGTTCTTCGAGTTCCCAGAACTCCATTCCCGGGCCACATTTTGAATGCTGAGGCAGGCTGAGGCTGAGGCTGAGGCTGAGGCTGAGGCTGAGGCTGAGGCAGGCTGAGGCTGAGGCCGAGGCTGAAGGCAGACTGAGGCTGAGGCTGCAGGCTGAGGCTGAGGCTGAGGCTGAGGCTGAGGCTGAGGCAGGCTGAGGCTGAGGCTGAGGCTGATGCAGGCTGAGGCTGAGGCAGGCTGAGGCTGAGGCCGAGGCTGAAGGCAGACTGAGGCTGAGGCTGAAGCAGGCTGAGGCTGAGGCTGAGGCAGGCTGAGGCTGAGGCTGAGGCAGGCTGATGCTGAGGCTGAGGCTGAGGCTGGCTGATGCAGGCTGAGGCTGAGGCAGGCTGAGGCTGAGGCCGAGGCTGAAGGCAGACTGAGGCTGAGGCTGAAGCAGGCTGAGGCTGAGGCTGAGGCAGGCTGAGGCTGAGGCTGAGGCAGGCTGATGCTGAGGCAGGCTGAGGCTGAGGCTGAGGCTGATGCAGGCTGAGGCTGAGGCAGGCTGAGGCTGAGGCCGAGGCTGAAGGCAGACCGAGGCTGAGGCTGAAGCAGGCCGAGGCTGAGGCTGAGGCAGGCTGAGGCTGAGGCTGAGGCAGGCTGATGCTGAGGCAGGCTGAGGCTGAGGCTGTGACTGCGACTGCCGTTGCCACTGCGACTGTCATCGCGAAGGCGACTGCGACTGCGAGAACAGCAGAATTCTACAACTGGATTCTCATCTGAATCTTAAGGGGAATGCTTCCAGATATGCTCCTACACATCGCTGTTAGGTTGCTTTGCCGGGATAATTTACTCAATGCCGATGTGGCCCGACCCAACGCACGTTCCGATCCGATCCCATTCCCAGTTTGACGTGGACCGATCCTGCCAGATCGACCATTCAATGGCCGATCGGTGCCCGGGAGGCTCACCCCGCCCAAGAATCGTGCGGGTTTGCCACCGGGAGTCAATCGCCGAAACATCGGCGGTGTAGCGTCGAGTCGAGGTCTTTGGTTGCTTGGGAGGGAGGGAGTGAGGGAGGGAGGGAAGGAAGGAGGGAGGAGGGAGGAGGGAGGAGGGGGGAGGGGGGAGGAGCGAGGAGGGAGGAGGGAGGAGGGGAGGAGGGAGGAGGGAGGAGGGAGGAGGAGGAGGGAGGAGGTGGGAGGAGGAGGGAGGAGGGAGGAGGAGGAGGAGGGAGGAGGGAGGCTTGGGTGCTTCATGGGCCCCGTGCTGAGCGCAGCCGTCCAGCCTGCGCGCTAGAGACCGCCAGGCAGCGTCGCAGACCGCCCCAGGCCGCCAGAAGATCGCCAGCAGAGCACCGACGAGCGCCGATGGCCGCCCACTGCCTATGGGCAACGAGGGGTCCATGGTCGGACACGCAGCCGCCTCCGCCTCCGCCTCCTCCTCCTCCTCCTCCTCCTCCTCCTCCTCCTCCTCCGCTTCCTCCATCGAGTCCAGGCCCTGCTCGCCTCCCATCCGTCCCCGTCAGGTGCCAGGATGCAACTCCTGGGAGGTTGCATTCTACTTCGGCGCGGGTGCTCTCGCGGTCGATCACTGGCCTCATCTCGATTAGTCTGGCTGGATCCCGCTTAATCCCGTTTAATCCTGCTTAACCCGAGGGTTCCATCCGGCCTAATTTGGCGAAGTGGCCCGTTAATCGGGCTTGATCGCCCTTACAGTCAACCCCCATAGTAAGGATGAGCGACTTGCCAAGATTACCCTTGCATCCTTGGAGACTTTTTTTAGGGTCCGGCGATAACCCGGGATATCGGGCTCGCCACCCCTTCCCCCCAGGATAACCTAACCTAGCCGGTTGTGCAGGTCCGGTGGGGGCGCAAGGAGCTTGCAGGGATCGCTGTGTTCAACGGCACGGTGGTGTTCGCCACAGCATGTTGGTGTTTGGATGCACGTTGGCGAAACGTTGGGGCTTGGAGTGGCACGGGGAGACGACGACAGACCAATCGAAGACGACGAACGGCGACGACGACGACGACACCGACGACTGATGACGACCGACGTCGTCCATAGGCATCTGGACCTGCATGTGAGCAGCGCGTACACAGGCATTGCGTTGTGCACAGGCAGCGAGGCGATTTGGTGCGCGCATTTGCTGCTGTTGCAGCAAGATGTGTTGTGTGCGCGGGCTTTGTGGTGCACGCAAGCATAAGTGTATGCAGGTCGCGCGGTGCACGCGAGCATCGTGATGCACCCAGGCAGTATGGTGAAGACAGGCTTTGTGGTACGCGCAACTGCTGCTGCAACATCAGTTATCATGCACGCAGGCATCCCAGGTACTGGTGTACAGAAGCACTGTCGTGCACTGTCATTGCGGTGTACCACACCTTGTGGTGGACACAGGCGCTGCGGTGTACACATCCGCTGCTGTGTGCATATTCGCTATGGTGTACACAGGCGTTGTGGGCCCCCAAAACGGGACCTTTCCCTGTGCAAGAAAATCCATAATCACATATAGTTTACATGTTGGATTCGATACGTTCAGATTCCCCGCGATTGTTTGGAGCTCGGTCCTGCCAGGGGCCCTGGAAGCGTACGCAGTTCGCATCCATACTATACGGGCTGACTGTAGTCGTTCCAACGAAGACCTCCCAGGAGTCGCCTCCTACAGGTGGCGCCCTGGCCCCAACCGCAAGAGCTCGGGCAACCGTCTGGCGCAGGAGGACGGCCGCGGCCCCTGCTGGCTCTCCGGCGGCACGGACTGGCAGGCCTTCCAGGGCGCGTGGCGCTGCCTGTCCAAGGATCCGGGGCGGCCTGGGCGACTCCGCGAGGAGGAGCTCGGAGGAGGAAAAGGTACCCGGACCGCTACCCTCCGCCCGTTTTCGCCTTGTTGGGCTTCCTGGGAGGCCCGCGTCGCCACGGCTGGATTCGCCCCGAAATCCTGGTCAGAACGCACTTCGGGAGAGGTCTGGGGAGTAGCAGTGTGGGTGCCTTTTGTTTTCCCCAGGGGAGGGCGGCTAGAAGTAAGCGAGCAGGTGCACCCCCCGTGAGGGAAGGTGTCCTTGCACTTGCATCACGAACCCCCTCCGTGAGGCAAGAGCGCGTGGCGCTACCCGTCCGAGGATACGAGGCGGCCTGAACGACCCTCCCTCAGAGGAGGACGGGTTACCGATACCGCTACAGTACCGATACCACTACCCTTCCCTTGTTTTCGCTTTGCTGGGCCTCGTGCCACGGCTGGATTCGCCTCGAGATCCTGGTGAGAACGCACCTCGGGAGAGGTCCGCGGAGTAGCTGGACAGACACCCTATGTTTTTGTCCCTCACCCTCACCACCCACCGAACCACCCCAACCCAACCCGAAGGTCTCAATTTGCCCTCGATTCCTAGTGGGATGGGGGGGCGTCGGGGAACATTGAAACACACACACACAGACACACATGTGGGACCCATACCTCCCGCCAACCCGAAATGAGAGCCTTCTGGGGGGTGCTCTGTTAGGTAGTCACACCCTGGCAAGCCGACCCCTCCCGTGACGACCCCCTCCCCTCGCTCCGAGTTTCGTGGGCAGGCGACCAGAGGGGGCGCTTCGAGGATCAGCCGTGAATACTTAGTTCGTACGGCGGAAGGCTTCGGGCCGTTGTGTTCGGCCTTTGGGGCACCCGGCAGGCCTCGGGACGGCCAAAAGCGGGACTCAAGGGACGGGGGTCAGCACAACCGGGGGTCAGTCAGAGCGGCGGATCCTGCAGGGCCAGGGGGGCGCACTGACCGGGGTTGGGTGCAGCATCCTGCAGGATCTTGCCAGGCCTGAGTGACCGGGGTCCATATTGACTCGGGTCAGTAGATCCCTTAGCAGCACACGGGCCTCTTCCGTGACGACCCCTTCGCTTCGCTCAGAGACGAGGGTAGGCGACCAGAGGCGGAGCCTCCATGGTGAGGTGTTGTCGAGCAAGAGGCCCTGTCCTCGAAGAGCAGCAGGCGGTCTCTCGCCTGCTAAGGGAGGGTCAGCCTTTGTGGGGGTCAAGAAGAGCCAAACTCAATTCCTGGGTTGTCCCCATGCTCGGGGCCGCATCTGTCTCCAAACATGGTCTTCTCAGTTCGTTTTTCCTGGGTAATTTCTCTGGACCTTCGTCGCCCGGGCCAGTACGTTGCTCAGCAAAGATTTGTCCCTTGATTAGCACTTCGCTGATTCTGACCCTCAGAACCCCAGAAGTCTGATCCCCATTATCGGCTATACATAAGAGTGGCCTTTCTCTCGGAGTGACCTTTGGTGCGGGCACACTGGTTTCCCCAGGTGGCCGAATGCGATGCGATAACAGCAGCCTGCGCGCTCCAGCTCGGCCTCCCCGCGGCCCCTGAACGTCGCGCACCAGAGGCCATGCTTGGCTACAGGGCCACTCCTGAGTGCAGCCGACACTACGGTCAGCATCGACAGTAAGCATGATCGACTTCCCAAGGTAACCTTTGCATCCTTGGCTCTTCGGTCATCTTCGGTCCATCCTCAACCCGCTGTCGATGGCCAGCCCCGCTCGAGATGCTTCGGCATGGGCGTCCGGGGCCCTTCGCATCCCTGTCGTGCATCCCTGCTGTGGGCTCCCACTGCAGCAGGCGAACGAGACGGCACACAAACACACGACCGTTCGCAGGCGCACGCGGGATTTTCGGGCGGGTCGGGCGCGGAGCCCCCGCAGGCCGCCCCGCAGGCCGCTGTCGCCCCCGACCCCACTGTGGGGATCCCGTCGGCCCTGACGCTCCTCCTCGGGAGGCCGTCGACGCGGTGAGGTCCCCGTGTTCGGCGGCGCTCGCAGTCAGCATCGTCCCGTCGATCCCTATCCCCATCCCCGTCAACACATCGATCCCCACCGTCCCACCAGCCCAGCTGGGGATGTGCTCCTCGAAGCCCGAAGAAAACTGACTGAATCATCCCCATTAAGGGGGGGCAAATCGCCCAGCGGGGCCCAGGCCTTGCAGGTGGGGATAGGGATCGGTGAAACGATACTCACACAGGGTGGGGAGTGGGCTTCTAAGGAGACGGCGGGGCTTCTAAGAAGGCATGGGCCTTCTCAGAAGCCCGCCTGGCTTCTCAAGCCTTAGAAGCCTATCAGGCATGAGCTTCCAAGAGAGCATCCTTACCGGCCTCCGAGGAGCGAGCTTCTAAAAAGGCAGCCTGCTCCATAGCAGCCCCTCCGCCTTCGTAGTCAGCCGCCCCCTTGCGCCACCCCCTTGCGGGCGCCGCCAGCATGTGGGGGCAGGAGCACAGCTCCCTCGGCTGGGGCGCGTGGCGCCGCCTGTCTCCGGAGGACGACAACCGTGGCTAGAACGCGGATCCAAGAGTGCGAAGCGCACTTGATGGTCTTCTTGTTTCTTGCCCCCCGCGCTTGCATGCCTCGTGCTGCACTGTCATGCCGTGGATCCCCCTCCCTCTCCGTGGCCGCGTGGGTCACACGGGGCTCACCTGGGAGCGGCACCGGCGGGCGCCCCACGGGGGCCGCCAGGCGAGAGCGGGCGAGCGCCACCGAGGGCGCAGGGAGGAGGAGGTTCCTCCTGCTCGTCGTCCTCGTCGTCATCGACTCCTTCGTCCTTTTCCTCCTCCTCCTCCTCCTCCTCGTCCTCCTCGTCCTTGTCGTCATCGATTCCTTCGTCCTTGTCGTCATCGATTCCTTCCTCGTCGTTCCTTGTAAGTAACTTGGTCCTTGTCCTCCTCCTCCTCCTCCTCCTCTTCGTCTTCGTTTCGTTTTTCCTCTGGGGCCGCTGCTCGGTGCCAAGGGGTGGCCTCGAGTGCGCCGACTGGCCACAGACGATGGCGTGTCGAAGCCTTCGACACGCTGTTTCTTCGGCCGCAGAAAACAGCGTGTCGAACCTTTCGAAGCCTTGCTCCTGATCCTCCTTCGATGGAGGATCCTTCGAGTCGAAGAAGGTCGAGTCGAAGAGCCCTTCGCCAAAGAAAGCAGCGTGTCGAACCCCGACGCCTTGCTCCTGATCCTTCCTCGACTCGAGGGGGGATCAGGAGCACGAACGAACATAGATTTTCGCAGGCGTTGGCGGATGTCCTGGGCCGGCGCTGAGCCGCCCCCTTGGCGGCGCCTCCCAGCGCCGACGACGGCCTCGTCCCGACGGCCTCGTCCCGACGACGACGGCCACGACGACGACGACGACGGCGACGATGGACGACGGACGACGGACGACGGACGACGGACGATGACGACGGACCTCCCGCAGCGCGTCTGCGGGATCGTGCCGCTCCGTGCTTCCCGCGTGCTCGCGAGGATGGCATCCGCCCCGCCTGGGTCGCGTTCCGCGTCTGCGTGGCTACCCCGGAGCTGTCCGGTGCGTTCCTCACCCTGTCGGCCAGGCGCGATGATCGCGCGCCGCATCCTTGAGATCTTGGCGACTCAATTTTTTCGAGCCGGGCGTTTTCGCCCAGTTTCGGGCCCCAGGACCCTCACATGTGGATCTGGCTCCAAAAATGGCGCAGAAAGACGGGGTCCAGGCTTGCAGTCGTGATTTTCCACGGTGTCTCAGTTCTTTCGAGACGTCGGATCTCAGGGGCGTTCCGCTGTGGCGGCCGTTCTCGAGGGGTGGGGGGGTCGCGGGCGTTCTCTAGTGGGGGGGGCGACGAGCTCGGAGGATGAGAGGATGCGGGTACCGCTAACCCTCCCGTGTCGCCATGGCTCGAGTGCTGCTGGAAGTGCCCCTGGCCCAGGGTGCCCCCAGGATTTTTCCAAGGAGGCCTCTACGGCCTCCAGAGCACCCCTCACGAGGCCCAGAGGGCCCGAGGGGCTCCAAGATGAAACGAAGAGCTGGGGGCACCTTGAGCCAGGGGCACTTTCAGCAATCCCCGAACGGCTGGATTCGCCTTGAGAGCTTGGCATCGCTCCGACGTGTGCATGTTTTGCACGGCGAGGCCAGCGGCCAGAAAATCTGGACCATCTCGGAGCATCGCTGACCATCTTGGGGAAAAGCACGCGTACGGAACCGAACAGTGCACGGGGAAGGGACGCCCGAGCGATGACAGGATCTCTTGGTCAGAACTCACCCCAGGAGAGGTCCAGGGAGCAGCAGTATCGGTACCTCCTATGCCTCGGAGGTTGATAGACCTCCTACCTTGACACGTCGATTTCACGAATTGGCCGTTATCGGTTCGCGAGAGGGCGTCGCGGCCGTCATTTTTGCGGGTCCAGGCCCGTCGGTTTCGGTCCCAGGCCGTTTCGCTAAAGGATGGTTTACTAAAAGGAGGTTTGTCCACCGCCGAACGGCGGTGGATCTGGGGATGCAGGAACGAGGTCCCAAAGGGCCCACCTGAGGTCCCGAAGGTGTACGGCAGGTGGATGTTGCGTCCCCCAGCGACGCCCGACGGGGGGGAAGCTGGATCACCCTACAGACAGGGGTCTTGAGTCTTGAATTGTTCCGAGTTTGGTCGTTTTGGCTGCGTCGCAGTCGGTTGCGTTCGGTCAGTTCGGTCTGGTCAATTGTTGTGTCATTGCTGCATCGCTGCGTCTTTTTTCAGCTGCGTCCGCTCGATAGAGTGGCGAGTTTCTGTCCATGCCAGGAGGGAAGAGCCCCCGCAGTTACGGATAAGAGTGAGGGAGCGGGGGTTGGATCGTCGGCCGTCTGCGAGGGTCAGCGGGCCGAGTATCTACACATTGCACAACGAGCTTGCCGCATTGTGGGCGGATGGGTCCCAGGCGGTCGCGGGGTGGTCCTGGGGCGGGTCGCGGGGCGGGTCGCGGGACGGGTCGCGAGGCGGGTTGTGGGCGACGGCGACAACAAGAACGATGAGAATGACGATGCACCACGAAACCCCGCAACAACCATGCACCCAGGGACCGTGCGACACCGCTTTGCCCCCTCACTCTGATTATAATTAGTTATCGAGTTCGCTCTGCACCCCGCAGTCTGATCCTCCTAAGCTATAGTCCCCAAAGTCCCCCGCGCACTCTTCAGCACTGTGTCTCCTCGCCCTCGCCCTTGTCGACCTTCTCGCAGTCCTCTTCTTGCCTGAGCGCCACATGGGATCAAAGGCGGCTCGTTCAGAAAGCGCGGGAAATAGATTCTTGACGCTTCGTGTATCCCCCGTCCATTGACGCCCTGGGTTGCCGCCCCCTCGCCGCCTGATCCGCGGCTCCCGCGCGCGCCCGGGAATTTAGTCGCGGCCGCAGCCCGACCGTGACTGCTCGCCGCCGGCGCTTCCGCCTGCGGCTGTAACAAAAAAAAAGTATCCCCCGTCCACACACGAATTCCGTTCGAGTTGCATTGGTCGGGGAGCGCGTGGGCATGCATCATGCCAGGGGGGTTGCCGTCAAGCCGAAGCCTGGGATCAACCTGAGGAGATCCAGGAGTCAACCATAAAGGCCGTCGCGGATCCTTCGATCCGGAAGCATTTTGAAGGCTTATTGGGGCCATATAATTTAAATGTTTGCGTTACAGTGCAGCGTTAATTCGTTTAGGAAGTATTTGCTGTAACTCGCGCTGTGAACAAAAAAGCAATACTTGCGACGCGCTTTAATACAATAATCCCGTGCGCGGCACAAACAAATCGAATTTGCATCGAACCTACGCACCAGAGAGAAGCTGAGTTTGAGAAGGATTTGCATGTCAATTTCCAGAGTTAGACAATTCCGAAGTATAGAAATGTCGAGCCAGATTGCAAGGGTTAGAGTGAAATATCGAGTTGGAGAAGAATTTGCGTATGACCTTCCAGAGTTGGATTCTAAATTGTAGAGAAATCCGAATGAGATTTGCCAGAGGATTGCCGGTGCCAGACCGAAACATGGAGTTTGGAGAAGAGTATACTTTAATTTCCAATGTTTGAAATTATTTGGTATCGCGGCGGATTCGGAATCACATTTATTAGATGATGTAATTGGTCAGAGAGAAACATTAAGCTCGAGAGGAGTTCGCAATTGATTTTCCAGAGCGAGAAAAGGTTCTGGATCGCGGCGCAAGTGGATTCAGATGTGTCAGAGGATGCTGGGGCCAGGAAGGAATTCCATTGCAAGGGCATGGAATAAATATAGAGTTGGAGTGGCATTTGCAACTTGATTTCAATAAGTAGAAAGAATTCAGAATCGCGGCGGGATTGGAATCAGACTCGCCCGAGGACTGCCAGTGCTCAGAAGACATTTTGAGTTGGAGAAGGCTTTGTAAGTGAAAACCTGAGATAGAAAGGATTCTGAATCTTGGCGGCACTGGAACCATACTCGCCCGAGGACTGCCAGATCCAGGGCGAAATATTGACTTGGAGCGAAAGTGGTAATTGAATTTCCAGAGTTAGAAAGGATTCTGAATCGTAGAGGATTTTGATGAGTCTGATTTGCCTATGGAGTGCCAGGGCCAGCATCTGGGAATTCAGATTCGAATCCACATGCGAGTCAGAAAACTTTTTTGAACTCTGGAAACTCCGTTGCTCACTCTTCTCCAACTCAATATATATCTCTCTGGCCCCGGTATCCTCTGGCACATATGAGTCCAATGCCGCCGCGATTTGGAATCCTTTCAAATTCTTGGAATGTCTGGTGCAAATTCCTATCCAATTCAATAGTTCTCGCTGGTCCTTGTACTCCTCTGGCAATCATGCAATCATGAGTCCAATTCCCGCCGCGATTCAGAATCCCTTCTAAGTCTTGGAAATATACATGCACATTCCTCTTCTTATTTCTGTCCTTCGCATCCTCTGTCAAATCTGATTCCAATGCCGCAGAGATTCGGGATCCGTTTTAAGTCTGGAGATGAAGTGTCAAATCGTTGTCCACCTCCATACTATTTATCTCTGGGTCTGGCAATTCTCTTGCAAAGCTGTTTCTAATGTATATACGATGCTGAACTCTCTTGAACTCTGGATATTCAATTCCATTTTTTCCAAGTCCTTATTTCCGTCTGGCGCGGGCATCATTTGGCATATCTGAACTCATTTCCGCCGCGATTCGCAATACAGGCAGCTGGTTTACGCAGACGATACTCTGCTCATGGCCAGGACAGTTGATGACATTCAACGGTGGCTCCAGGCAGTGTGCCAATCTGCAGCCAACGTGGGTCTGGAGATGCTCTGGGGCAAACTGCAACTGTTGAGGGTTCGCTGCAATGGGATCGTTCGCACGCCCACAGGGAAAATCATCGAGGTTAAAGACACGCTGTCCTACTTGGGAACCACAATCAGCAGCGACGGGCGAGCGAGTGGCGAAATAACGAGACGGATCGACATGGCTTTTGCCGCTTTCAGAAGCATGAAGCAGCTTTGGAGCCATACTTCGATTTCTCTAGACAGGAAAGTGGAGCTGTTCAACGGCATTGTGATGCCCAAGCTGTTGTACAGCCTCAGCGCAGTCTGGTTGAATGCTGCAGAGCGGAGGCGGACGAACGGGGCACAGGCCCGGATGCTGAGATGTGTCGCTGGCATCAAGCATTCCATGATCTCCCGTGTCTCCAATGACGAGGTGCGCCGGATAACGAAGCAGGAGCTCGCCACTGACATGCTGCTGAAACACCAATTGGATCTATATTGCAAAGCCGCCCAGGGAGGCGACCACTGTCCGTTACGTAACGCGGTGTTCTACCCGGGGACCACGATACCGGTCAATGATATGTACGTTCGGAACAGTGGCGCCCCCCGGGTGGAGTGGGCGAAGCAGCTGTGCCCACTTCTTCGAGCTCGCTTGCGTGCTGATGCACGCCGCGCCGACGCGCCGTAGGGCGTATGGCACACCTCACCTCACCTCACCTTACCTGGAAATTAAAATGCACATTCCTCTCCAACTCAATAGTTCTCGCGGGCCCTGGTAATCCTCAGGCAATTCTGGGTCAATTCCCCGACGATTCAGAATTGCCCTAACTCTGCAAATTTAATTGCAACTTCTTCTTCGACTTCAAATTTCCCCCTGGCCTTGGCATCCTCCGGTAAATCTCAGCCCACGTCCGCAGCGATTCTGAGTCTTTCCTGATTCCTTGAATCTCGAATGAGAGTTCCTCTCCAACTCAATTTACCCCGCTGGCCCTGGCAATCCTTTGGCAATTCTGATTCGGATCCCTCTACGATTCGAAGTCCGTTTTGCTTGCAGCATGGCCGCCGAGAGTACGTATTAGCTGCAACGATTAACAGTACAGTTGCAGCATTATTTGCTCGTCGCATTATCCTTGTTTTTTGTTTGATCGTACTTGGGCACTGTCGGAGCCATGTTGGATCCCTTTGGGGCTTCTCTTTGACCCCTCTCAGGGTCATCTGGGGCCCTCTTGGGGCCATCTTGGAGCACACTGATCAAAACAAGGGCTTCGCCGATTAGTACAGCCCTTCTGGAACCCGAACCAAACTCTTCTCTTGGAGCCCTCTTGTGTGGCTCTTCGGGCGCTCTGGGGACGTCTTGGAGCTGTACGGCTCCCTCATCGGGTGCTCATGCTTTGCGATCCTGCAGCCACCGGCATCAGATTTCCATCAGAAACGGAAAGGCGAGAAGGCGAAAATCATATAAGCATTGTTGGTGTCTGAAGGGGTTTGATTTTTGGAGGGCGTCCTCGGGAGGCTCCGTGGCCATCTGGTGCCTTTTGGATGCATGCTAGACGCCATCTTGAGATGTCTTTGTGCCATCTTGGAGGCCATCCTGGGCTTTACGAGGCCATCTTGGAGCCATCTTGGATGCTGTGACGCCTTTCGGGCCGTGTGCAGACACCAAGGGGGGGGGGGAGTTTTGGGGGGAGGCAAGCCATTTCCTTGAGGGGAAGGAACGGCTTGGAAGAAGAAGAGAAAAGAAGAAGGAGAAGAAACGCTCAGAACCGCGCGCCCTGTGGGAGGGAATTGTCTCGAGGCGTCCTGTGCACATCGATTCCCATATGTTCTGCGCTCTGATATCACACAGGATATCCGTTGTCTTCGGAGTACTTGCGGTGTGTCTGTCTCCGGATTTCATGTGGTGTATCTATATCCGCCCAGAGGGATGTGAAGAATTCAGAAATCTTCCACATACTTCCAAAGGTTACCAATTGTCGCCGAACATGTATGCACATCTCCCAACACCAAATCTCGAGCTCCGACGTCCTGAAACGGCCGCACGTACGACTTCGTGACAAATCGTTCGGATTCCGTCATCTCCCGACCTCGGGAGGAATTTCTCGAGCCAGAATGTCTCCGTGAGTCCATGCCGCCCAAGCGAGGCTGAAGCAGTTGGGTCGGAACATCGCGCCGTATCGCCGATGCGGCGCGATTTGGAGCCCGACCGTCTCCATCCCTGCGCAAGCTCGGCACAAGTTGGCAAAAATGCAAAGCAGACCCCTCAGAGGGGTCCACGCTGGCGCATCTAGGGACTCACGGGGGGCTTTGGAGCCAACCACCAGGACTTCTGGGCAGCGTGAGGAGTGGCCACGAAAGGTGCGTGGTGTGCTCTGGGAGGCGCGCGAGAGCGGGCAACAACCCACGGACCCAGGGGGGCTCTGGAGCCGACCACCAGCACGGTCGAGCAGCGTGAGGAGTGGCCGCGAAATATGCGAGTAGTGCCGTGGAAGGCGTGCGAGAGCGGGCAACACGCCTAGGATGCATCTCCTGGGAGGTCGTGCTCAGCATCGACGCTGGCGTATCTGTGACCGGAAGCAGTCCAGCCAAGTCCATTTGTTTGTTTGTTCAAAACATCCGCGTGGTTCATAATGACCCGGCGCAGTCGGGATCAATTTTTCGCTCAATCTTGGGCTTTATCTTGCCCAGTGATCGGAGTTTGATAGACCTCCTGCGCTGACACGTCGATTAGCGAATTGGCCGTTTTCGGTTCGCGAGAGGGAGTCGCGGCCGTCATTTTTTCGGGTCCAGATCCGTCAGTTGCGGCCCCAGGCCGTTTTCACGAAGGGGAGGTTTGCTAAAGGGAGGTTTGTCCACCGTCGAAATGACCCTTGAATCGAGCGGCTGGCTTCGAGCCGCTCTTGCGAAGGCCTCCCAGGAGTCGTCTCCCGAGCGTGAGCAGAGGTGGCGCTCCGGCAGCCCGCGCAGGGGCGCGCGTCGGCGCGCGCGCGCGGCAGCGCCTCGCGCCTCGCACCTCATCTCGCACCATTTTCGTCGGGTGTTGCCAGAAGTTGATGGGCCTGTTTTCCACTACCTCCACCATCAGTTGGAGGGGGAGGGGGTCCTCCTCCTCCTCCTCCTCCTCCTCCTCCTCCTCCTCCTCCTCCTCCGCCGTCCCCCCATCCAACTTCATTATGGTGGTGGTGTTGGAAAACAGGCCCATCAGAAGTGGTCCCGGCCCAAGGTGCCCCCAGTTTGGTCGCGCCACTCAGTCTCGTGAGGGGTGCCTTGGAGGCCATCTGGGCATGCAGGGGCCACCCGACGCCGGGGGCACCTCTTGGCATCACCCGACCCGGTTGGCCCGCCTCTGGCCCCATGGGGCCACCTGGCCCCAGGGACACCTTCGGCAACGCCCGACCTGGGTGGCCGGCCATTCCTCTGCGGCGCGCCCGGGGGGGGGAAGTGAGAAGGGGCGTGCTTTCTCAGAAGACTCGGAAGTCCCTCAGCCTTCTCAGAAGCTTCCTGAGCCTTCCCCGAAAACAGAAAGCTGCTCAGGAGGCTGGAAGCCCCGCCGCCTTCTGAGAAGGCCTTATCCTTCTCTTTCCCCCCCCCGGGCTTCGCCACCGACTTCTTAGTTTTTGGGTCATATCTCGGGTCTCCGGCGGCCGTTCGGGACGATCTGGGCACCCCCGGAACGTGCTGAGCGAGGCGCAGCCGCTGGAACGCATCCCGAGGGTGGAACACCGCCGAGAACCGACGACAACGCCCGAAAACCTCCAACCCGAAAATTGCCCCCTCGCTCGCTCGCCGCCGAATGCCTCCCTGGCGCGCCCGGCGCCCCGCGCAGCACGCACACCTGGGGCCTGGCGGAGCCGGTCGTGGCCTTCAGCTACCGCGGCGACGACGCGAGGGAGGGCCAGCGGCGCTGCTTCTCGGCGCCGCGGCGTGCCCTGCCGCCGCTCCTCGTCGCCCTCGTCGCCGCCACTCGTGGTCCGTCGTCCGTCGTTTTCCGTCGTTCGTCGTCGTCGTCGTCGTCGTCGTCGTCGTCGTCGTCGTCGTCGTCGTCGTCGTCGTCGTCGTCGTCCGTCGTCGTCCGTCGTCGTCGTCGTCGTCGTCGTCGTCCGTCGTCGTCGTCCGTCGTCGTCCCCCGCGCGGCTGGAAGGTGCAGTCCGGCTCCACGCAGAAGGGCGACCCCGTCCACGTGTGCCACGGCCCGCTCGTGGAGGCCGGCCCCCGCCCAAAGCCCGCCCCCCACCCCAGGCCGCTGCTCGGGCCGCCCGCGATCCGACTCGATGCGAGTCGATTCGTCCGGGCGCAACAAAGAGCCACAACCACGACTCTAAGTTCAGAGGAGGAAAAGGTACCCATCCCGCTACTCTTCCCTTGTTTTCCCTCTTTTCGGCCTTGTGAGAGGCCCTCGTCGCCACTGCTGGATGCGCCTCGAAACTCTCGTTAGAACACACCCCGGATGTCCACGGAGTAGCGATGCCGGTACCTCTTGGTTTCCCCATCTCCTGAGGGTCCTTCAGGGGAGATGCCGCCGACCTCGACAGGAACACCTTGGTTGTGACTGTGGTCGATTTGGCCTTCCTGGGGCGTTACATCGACCGCAACCAGGACTGAGCTGGTTTCGGTGTTCTGACGGTGGCAGGCAATGAGCAAGACATGATCGCTTGCCGTCCCCGCAATTCGCTGGCTGGGGCCGCGACCCCGATTCGACTCCCCGGGCACGCTCGCGGCGTGAGAGCATCAGGGCGGAGGCTGTGCTAATCGTTTTCGGCCTGCGGGGGCCCTCGCCGGACCCCGGGGCCGTCGAAAATCAATGCGGGATGAGAACCGGGCCCCAGGGGCAGGGTCGGGACCTCCAGGGACCGCGTAACGAACAAGTCAAGACATCGCATGTTTGGGTCGAATCGGCTGGATTCACCGGCATCGGCCGTGCGCAGCGATCTCCGAATCTATGCGATTCGGGGCGGTTCTTTGGCGACCCGATCTGTTTCGGTATTCGATCCAGCTCAGGCCTGGGCTGTCCGCGATCGCTGCTGGTGCCGTCTGAGGAAGGAGAGGAGGAGGAGGAGGAGGAGGAGGAGGAGGAGGAGGAGGAGGAGGAGGAGGAGGAGGAGGAGGAGGAGGAGGAGGAGGAGGAGGAGGGGTTGGCAGGTGGCATAGGCGCATCTGCTTCTGCAGGGTGCAGTACAGTGCAGGAGAGGGGGAGGGTGGAGGGAAGAGGACCGTGGAGGGAGGAGGAAGAGCACGCGGGGAGAGTGGCGGGGGAGGGGCGGGGCGGAGTGGGGCAAGGAGGGGGGCACGGGTGGGGCGGGTCGGGGAGCGGGTGGGAGCCCAGGGTGGGCGAGTGGACGGATGAGCGGGTCGACGGCTCGGCGAGCAGGCATAGCAGGCAGCGGGTAGGATAGGCGGGGTTGGGACGGTCGCTGGGCACCGTGATGGGGAGAAGGCGAGGCGAGGCGAGGCGATCCGCATAAAGAGGGATGGTCGTCCAACTTCAGCTGTGAGACCAGAAAGGTTCCCCCGCGTGAGCAGTATGCAGTAAGGACCCGGCAGCCCTTCGACATCGTATCGGAGCCAGGAGGAGAAGGAGGAGGAGGAGGAGGAGGAGGAGGAGGAGGAGGATGGGGAGGCGCAGGGTAGGGGTCCTCTTGGAATTCAGAGCTTCATGGAGGCACGGGGGGGATGGGGGCTTTGGGGGCGTCTATCTTCCTTTCCCTCTTGTCCTCCCTCCTCTCGGCCTTTCCTCTTTTTCTGTTCCTAAGACGGACGTGTGACCTCATGCGTGCACCCGTGCACCCGAAGACGGTGTGGAAGAGAAGGGGGAGGAGGGGAAATGGAGGCTTAAATTAGGAGAGGAGGGAGCGAGCTTGGAGTGCGTATTTTTTTTTGGAGTGCGAGGGCGGGATCGGGGGGAGGGGGCAGAAAAGGCTGGCGGCTGATACCGAGGAGGAGGAGGAAGAGGAGGAGGAGGAGGAGGAGGAGGAGGAGGAGGCCGCGGCCGAGGGTGGAGGAGGGGGTTTGAGGAGGCATGGGATTGGAGGGGCAATACGAGCAACTGTTCAATATATCATCATATCGGCAACGATGAAAAACAATGTGTGTTCCGCCGCGGCGGGATGGACACGATTAGACCACCTGGAGGGCATGGCCACGCCTCCTCTGCGCTCGGGCTCGCGCTTGGCGCGCGCACGCGCGCGGGAAGGCCTGCGTTCACCGCAGGCCTGGGCGCACCACAGTCCCACCTGTGCGGAAAAGCGTTCCCCAGTAGCAGCATGAGTGAAGTGTACTGACTGCGGCTTGTAGGTCGAGCCGGCACCAAAATTGCACCGCTTCGCGCTAGCGGAGAACGCGTGCGCAAATTGTAGCCGCGCGCACGGCGAATCTTCAAACCAAGGCCGTGGTATCCCTGACGAGGCGCAGACCATGGCACGTAAGCAACACACGAATCGTATCACACCCGCTGAGGAAGCGCGCGCACGGGATTGGATACCGCACATTGGCCTCAGGCAGAGCAGAAACAATGCGTACCTTTCCTCTGAATGACGTCGCAAGGGCGCAATGGACGACCAGGAGCAGGAGGAGGACAGACACGGGGAAGGACATCACTTTTTGTTTTTTCAAGTTGTTTGCCCCAGGTTTGTATCCGTGGTCCCGGCTATCGTGAAGTCCATTGGGGGGGAGGGGTTGGCGGATTTTCACAGCGACGGCCTCACGCTGGGGGGAACAGCGAGGGAGGGCGAGGGAGGTGCTCGAGACGAGGGGGAGGAGGGAGGACGGATGGTGGCAGGAGGTGGGGAGCGCGTGCGAGGCGCAGGCGGAGCCCGCGCACTGAGGTCGAGTGGGAACCCTGCCACGTTCGGGGCAGTCTGATTCACCCGCAAGGCGCGGAGAGAGGCTGCCCCTTCCTGGCCTCCGCAGGTGGGGGCCTGAGACTGGGACTGACCGTATGGGGCGAGAGCCCTCTCGTTCCAGAACGCCGTGCCGAGCTACACCTCCTCCTGAGGCAGGTCATCAAGGGTGGCCTTGACCGTAACTCTCTGAAGCCTCTGTGTAAACGCTAAACATATCGGTGGGGCAGACAGTCCTGCAGCCTCGCAATCTCAAAGTCGCCGTTGTGGCCCTGAAGAGTTGGCTGTGTCCTGGGAGCGCCGTGAGAGCACGAGGATCACTGCGGTTCGGGCTTGGCGTGTCGTGGAGCTCGAAGTCGGCTGGCCTGAGCGGCAGCCAAAACAGGTAAGCGGGCGGTCGCCAGGTGAGCGCCTCGAAGACCTACGACGTGGCCGTGCACCTGGACTGGGACCCGCGGCGCCCCAGGAGTGCCCGTGGCCCCTTTGCCGCAGGCCGAGGAGAAGGAGAAGGAGAAGGAGCAGCATGAACAGCAGGAGGACGGCAGGTTGATGTCGTGCCGACACGGCGGCGACCCTGCGGGGTGTTCAAGGTTAACGCCGCTGGATGCTTGGAATCGGTCGATATCGAGTGACCTGCGCTGTTGGGAAGCCACACTGGTTCCAAGCGGTGGCAGGAGCCGATGCCGAAGTCGGCATGATACGAACTCACCGTAATTAGGAGAGAGAGGAGCTATCGGCGGCCTCCAACCTCTTGTTGGACTAGCAGCTCGTTGGTTCTTGCATGAAGGTTGCCGCCATGGAGAATGTGGGCGTCGATTCCACCAGATCCGACCATTTGCCTAGCTGCTGCATTTAGGTTTGCAAGGTCATTGGCACAGATGGCTTGTCCAGAAGACGACTTGATATGCATAAGTTTAGCTCCTCCGAAACCGTCGAGGGGTACCGATCGCAGTTCGCCACCGTGCCGTTGGAGCCATGGGAAGACTCGACTCACCAGTACCTCATCAATCTCACCAACATGCGATGGACCTTCATTCGGCGTGGATGTGATGAGAAGCTTGTGAACCTGGCTAAGACCGGTCTCCGAAAACATGGTCGGGAGATGGTTTCTGAGATGGTCCCGAAATTTTGCTCCTTGATGGGCCGCACATCATTTTCATTGAAGTTGACCCCGGAAGTGGCTCTTTGAATCTAACTCGCAATGCGAGCTCGAAATCGAGTTCGGCGGATGCGATGTTTGATAGCAGCTTGTTTCTTATATTACGCGTAGTGGTCACAGGACGTGAGGCGTCGTCACAGCAAAGGCAATCAATATGTTCCATATCGAGGCCCTCCGTTACTCGTAAGTTTCCTTATTCCATCATCTTTCTTCCGTCCTCCGTCGTAGCTCCTCCATCGTCCTCTTTGATTATCCGTCGGTCTCGTATTTCCTTCAATGTTTTTTCTACTTCTCCTTATGTCAATGCTATTCTTCATGCGATTGCTGATGCTCTCAATCGCAATCCTGTTCCTCCGCATTCCATTTTTCGCTAGGTGGTGAGGAGAAACGGGGGGGCAAGATCGATTCTGGGAGGGGAAAGGAGGAGGAGGACGGGGAGGAGGATCATCGGGATAAGTCGAAGGAGCAGGGAGGGGGAGAGGGAGGGGTGGTAAGTGGGGGTTGAGGAGGATGGGGCAGCAGGGCGGAGGGCCTGATGAGATGTAAAGTGCGCACAAGCTCGGCGCGCTGGGCCCTGGTAAGCATTGCTAGGCTGTGCTGGTCGGTCGTCCGACGCCGCGTCTGTGGCTGAACTCCTTCATCGCTGCGCGGGCCTTTCGGGCGACGGGGTGGCGCGCCGCGAGCAACTGAGCCGCGCGTTGACTGCGGTAACCAGGGCGGGCGGCCAGATCACGAGACCTCGAAAGCGAGCTGGGCGAGACTCCGTGCCCCTAGGAGGTCGTGAAGTCCATGATGCTGCTCTGCCGATCGACGCTGCAGACGCGGTTGAGATTGCCGAGGGTTGCCGCCGCGAGCCGGCAAGCTGCAGGGCCGGCGCGCGCGACGTCAGTCAGGGGCGACACGCGAACCGCGAGTGGATCGCCGAGCAGGCGGAGATCGAAAGGGGGGGCCTCGGCTGGCGCGCCTGATCGGGATGCGCTTTCGGGCGCCCTGAGGCCGCGGTCGCCCGCGCCGCCCTCGACCGCCCACCCGCCTCTGCATCGTGTTGGTTTTCTGAGCGCGGCGTCCCATGGGTCCGGGGGGAGGGCTCCGAGGCGGGAATGTATACATGACCACCGCCTCGCAGGGGCGGGGGGGCGCGCGGGCGCCCCTCGAGGTCGCGGCGCGCGATGGGCGCGGAGCAGCAGCGGGCCAATTTCCAGGCCGAGTTTACCCCTTCGAATTCCATCGTCGCCCCCACGGGCATGGGCGCCGACCAGGTCACGGGGGGTGATGCTGGTCTATTTCTCGGCGATGTTGCCTTGGCGTCCGCAGCGGCGAGGTGGGGCGCCATGCGCGCCCAAACCCAGAGAGGCCTTAAGACGGCCCCAGAAACCTTCGAGACACACCCTGGAAAGTCTCCAAGGGGCCTCCCAAGAGGGCCCCAGGAGGTGAAATCTTTGATTTCCTCAGGTGTCGGTGTTTGAAGGGCTTTGGCGCTCTCACCTTTTCGGGTTCCCGGCGCTCCAGCACTGTCCCCGAGATCGCCGCGAGACGGCCCGGAAAGGCTTCCAACGGGGCTCAGAGACTGATCGAGACTGCCCCAGGTGCCCCCCGCGAAGGCTCCAAGAGTGGTGGGTTGCGGGGGGAGGTCGAGCGGACATTTCGAGCCCTCGGCCCCGAGCGGCCCCCAGGAAACCGCAAGGGGCCCCCACGAGGCCGCAACAGGCTCCCAAGGGGCCATATGGACCCTCCACTAAGCCCCCAAGCGGGCCCAACACTTCCCCAAAGAGGTCCCGACAGCGACGAGAAGCGTCCGCAACCCATGCGCGGTGGCGGAATGGGCCGAAGGCCATTGGATTTGGTCTAAGAGTGGTGCCTTCTCGCTACTCTTTGAATATTCGCCCGCGAGGAAGATTTCGATGCCCCTCTGTCCTCTCGCCCAGCTGAGCGTCGAGCCCCTTCTTCTGCATCGTGCTGTGAATCCCACCAGCCTGCTGGGCGTAGTTGGTTTGGAGCGTTTTCTCTTCCATCTTTCCCTCTTCCGCGTCGGGGATGGGCTTACCCTCCCGCTTACACCCACACGCTAACACTTCCCCTTTTGTCTAATGTTCGTTTTTCTTTATGCAGGGACCATTCGACGAATTGACGTTGTCGTAGCCTGGAGACCATTGAACGAATCGTTTTCTTCTCTTCAATGTTGTTGTCGCTTCATCGTTTGGCAGAGAGTTGACTGACCCGAAATGGCCCTTGAAAACCTGATTCTCTTGAACAACTGATTCGACAATATCCTTGAGTTTGACTGTTCTTCCACACGCATAAACTCTCCCAATCACCTCCATTGGGATTGGAAGGGAACAGGAGGCCCCAGTCTCTAATCTAACTGTCCCCCTCATACCGCTATGTGCTAGTATGCATATTCGATGATTTCTCAAGTTGCTTGGCCCCGGAAGTGGTCTGGGAGAGCCCTGGGAGGGGTACCAGAGAGTCCTGGGAGGGGTCCGGGAAGGTCCCGGGGGGAGTCCAGGAAGGGGACTTTGAGAAAAGGTCGTTCTCGGGGGCATGCTGGAGCCCTCCTGGGCGCCTCTTGGGAGCGTCCGCGGCCGTCTTGGGGGCCACCTTGGTCCGTCTGGAGGGTTTTTTGGGGCGTCTTGGAGCCGTCCTGGACCGTGTAGGGGCCGTCTTGAGAAATTTTGACGATGCTCCATCTTCCAAGGAGGGGTGACCCTTGTTGGTGTTTTACCGATTCGGGCGCATCCGGGGGCCCTCTTGGACCCCACCTGAGAGCGTCTGGGCCCCTTCGGGACCACCTTTGGGCAGCCAAGCTGGTTCCAAGAGAGCTACAGATAGCCCAAGGTGGCTTCCAGGATGGCGCGGTGCTCGATGCTAGCCCTGGGTGGTCTCCAACATGCGTCCAAGAGGCGCCCAGACGGCCACAAGAGGGCCCGATGCTGCCACAGAGCTCGCCAAGGAGGCACCCGAGAGGCGAAAACCATCCTCAAACATTGTGCTTTCGATGTTCTCTGGCTTTCCAGTTTTTTTTCTTCCGATGGGCGTCGGGGGCCTCATGATGGTTCCAAGAGGGCCCCAGTAGGGGCTACATGGGCGCAAGATGGCCCCGAGACGGCCCCAAAACTGCCCCAGGACGGCCCCCCAAGGCAGTTTTTTGGAGACACTCATGGGCGAAAGGCCAGCTTAAGACCGTCTGGAAGTCAGAGAGACGATTAGGGGCCCGCTGGCAGGCATCTGGGACGGGTCGCTTGGGGGAGGGAACGGGCGAGATAGTTTTGTCGTCAGTGGTTCACATACTCCGTGAGGCGGGAGGTTTTCCCCCTGGACCTGGACGGGGCGCCCCGCGACCGATTGGAGCGTCCAAGTTGGCCCATGCTGGCTCCAAAAGGGCCTCAGAGAGCCCAAGATGGCTCAAGATTGCTCAAAATGGCTTACAAGATGCTCATAGAGGCTCGAAGTCCGGCTCGAGACGACTCCTGGCTCCGGAGGACCCCCAAGAGCGCCTCCAAGATGCCAAAATAAGTTCATGTGCTTCGTTTATTCGCTCTTTCGCTTCCGATGGCTTTCTGAGGCTTCAAGATGGCTCCAAGATGGCCCAGGATGGCATCAAGAGAGGCCCAAGAGAGCCACAATACGGCCCCAATAGCGCCCAAAAGCGTTCCAATAGCGCTTCAAGAGGGCCCCAAGAGTCGATTTTAGAGACCCTAGAGGGGGGATGCTGATTTCGGGCTCCCCCCGTCTTTGATGATGATGAGATGACTACTTCATCGAGCTGTAGCCTGAGCAGATGACAACAGTGCGAATGCGCATGCACGACACACACACACACAGAAAGCAAAGTACACAAACAAATTAATTACATGCGTGAATTCGGCTCGACTTACTTTCGCTAGTAAATACATGCACGTGGGAATGGGAGCCACGCCGCAGCAATCAACTTGCAATGGCTTCACGAACACGGCCGGAGGTTCTAGCAAGAATCATCCGCAGGGCCCGGCTAGCATTACGGCCAGACGGAAAGTGAATGTACAAAAATATGAAAACGAGCACGAAACACACAATCATACAATAAAAGAATACAAGGTGGAAAGGGGAGGAAAGAGCAAGCAGCGCAAAACATGAAGGATAGACGGGAGCATGGAGAGCAGTACGCCACCACACACGCGAACACACACGGAGCCCTCAAGCGGATGCTTAATCCGCACGTGGGTTATTGCAACGTGTCCATTTCTCTTGAGCAGCTGTCAACGCAACCCGGATGCAGGACAAGTACGGATGCTTAGAACAAACTCTGTCAACCGCACGCCGGAGAGCCTCC